CATTATCGCATCGGTGGATGACGTTTTGTTTCCTTGACGGGCAACGCGGACTAAATACTATTGACTTTGGCGTACCATTGTCGGCAATCTGAGGCACAAAGGATCACCGACTCGACCCAACGTGTTCGACAATGTCGGTGACGAGCTGTCTTTCATTGGGGTTGGCCGAGTCACCACCCCTGTACACCATATAACTTGGCCACTCAGTTCAGTCTAGTTCAATCAGCGTCTTCGTCTCATCCGTCAATTGCAACCCCCACCGAAAACTGTGAGGGCCAGACCCTGCCTGTGACTGTCATGATAACAGCATCTCGGCCCCGATTCCTTCTGGATACCACGAACTCGGCCGATGCGGAAGCGAGCAGTCAACGAGTAGGCCCTGAAAACGAAAGCACAGAGCTCCTGGAAGCCACTGCTTTATATTAGCATTCCGTTGTGCCAAAGCTGGAGATTGTCTGGTAGATTTCTGCCCCTAGGCCAGTGCTCAGAGTGAGACATGCTTGGTGCGGAGGCTTTATCCCAGATTCCGCGTGAACAACCAGCCCGTCGTACTACCGGACATACTGACATCGGGTTTCCCATTCTGGCAATAGCCGTTCACTGATGAGGCAAACCAACCAACCCCTCACGTCTAGGCTTTCATTACATCCCGACCGAGTATGCAAGGTAAATGCCCCGAGATTTGATGTGCAGATACAAAGGCATACGCTCGTCTGTGCAAACACACCCAAGTAAACAGTTGCCTGCATGGAGAAGGGCAAGGGCACAAAGACGTCCTCGAAAAGATGACAAATCCGTTACATGGCCACGAAGAGCAGGCGGTAACTGCCGCAACAGCTCCTCGGAATGAACCACATACCACCATTGTGTATACTGGACGGACAGAAACAGCGACGGTGCTGCGCCAGAAATACCCTGCGAGTTCCAATGGAGTAGTACCCGTCTGAACAATTTCGAGCCCGACTTCAATATCACAGGGAACCTTGGCCCGAGGACTCAACACCGAACCAACGCAAAACCCCACCAATTTCAAATGCAAAATAACGCAATCCCGCCCCCAAGCTACTCTGGGTTTAGCGGTCCAGGATGTTGAGCTCCCGTAGGGAAGGAAAAGGTGACAGATGACGGGTACTTCGAGATACTTGAGGCACTGACATTGAGATCCGCCAATCAAATCTGCCAGTCATCTACAATAGTCAATGGTCAGTGCGAGGCTGCCCGCCAGTGTCTTCTGCGGTGGTGCGCCTATCAACCAACGTAACCGGGAATCATCACGAACCGCGCCGACTAAATTTCGGGTCTGGTTGTGTTGTCTGCCCGTTAGCTCCGAGTAAGACAGCATATATGTACATATATTCGCAAATCTACCAACTTCTCAGCAATGGAGCTAAGACACTATCATAAGTTGGCCAAGGCCACATGCTCATGACCAACGAACATGACTAGACCAACAATTCTTCGTTCTGTACAAGCCAAAACGACAGAATGCGTCTACCATTACTTCACTTAAACATACACTGCGATATAAGCAAGTTTTTTGCTCATTTTCGAGCAATGGATATCCCACCCAACGTACCGGGTCGACTCAACGCATTGTATGTAAGTCGCCGGAGAAACCGATTTTAGAGTTTAAGGTCGGGAACGAGGCTCAAGCTGCCCACTGTTAATTACTTGGCCGTGCCGTCCCGCGTCGAGCCCGCTTGGCGTGTGCTACTATTGTCCTTTGGTGTCGTTATCCTCGCAAATGGCACAGACTGCTCTGTAACTGGCTGGTTCAACGCCGGCTTTGGTACGTGGGTAGGGAGATGGACTCGACGGGCGCTCCTAGGGTTGACCACTCTTACAGGTCAGCTGCCCGGGTATTCAGGCTGCCTGGCAACCTCCGAGGTGACATGTTTCTCGATGAACACCGGCCAAACGTGTTGCCGACGCCTTAAAGGCCAGCTCGTCGAGTCAATTGTGATGTCGGTGTCCTGGCATGACCTCGAAATGCCAGTTATAATTCATGGTGCTTCACGTACATATGATCGACTTCACCAAGATTGCCGGCCCCGGCCGGTGCATGCGATGATCGGAGACTGCTGCATAACAGGGATTAAATGACCCAAATTGCACCTTTTCAGTGGTTCCCTGCAGCTTCTCCAGCATTCGACTGCACCAACCACGAGTTTGAGGGTATTTTTAAAGTGCATGCAATGCCTGGGTGGACTGAGATGGGCCAATACAAAGCACTTTGATGTCGTTCTGGATGCGCAAATCTACAAGGTCTTTCCTGCGTCAGCATATCCATTCTGAACCCATGAACTAGAGTTCTCTGATGAGGGATAGTAGTAGTAGAAGAATATCCTTGACAAATTATCAAGCCAGTGGAGCTATCACAACACCGCTTGTCATAGCCCCTGCTGCATCCGTATTCTGTCATGGGCTGACAATCTTGAAAAACGGCCCTCAGAAATCCAGGCATTTGACGGTGTGGTGTACCTAGGCAATGGACAGGCAGGCTATCATCGGGAATGAATGGGCCAGTTTTGAGTGCAGGCGCCTGAAAGTGCGGTGAAGTGTGGCGTCGTGGTTATGACGATATTGGCAAAAGGTTACCGTCACATGCTCATCAAATTCGTGACGACGTATTTAGTGGTCATATTATCAACGCCTCTCTATCGCTACACCACGACCCAGAGTATTCCGACTCTTTGGAGCTAAGCAGCGAGGACTACGCCGCCGTTGGTGCCGAGTTGCCACTGCTAATCAGGGCATATCTACGGCGTCAATTTTAGAAAAACGCAAAAAAACCAGTATACTTGGTTGGCGACCACAGTACCGCGAAAAACACGATGCCAAGTACACTTCTTCCGTTGCTGGTACGTAGTTGATGGAGCATATAAAGTAGCTCATTCACAGCCTTCATGTCATGACAGCCGAGCCGGGGGGATTTGAGTTCATCTCAACTTTATGGAACAACCAAGTCGAAGGGTGGGTGGGCACAGGCAATGTCGAACATCCCTTTTTGAAGTCACAGACATGACAAGCACCCCCCAGAGGGTCAGCAACTTCTGGTATTGGTGCGCCTTGTAGCTCATGCCGCTTCACCCCCTTCGCGCGTTCCGTTCGACGCATGCTCGGGCTAGAGAAAGTCTCTCTTGTTGAACATGAAGTGGTATCTGCCTACGGAGTATTGATACAAAGTCTGCTTCATTTGCCGCCAAAGGAAGCCAGGGGTGCCACCTCCTCACCGTTGCTGTTGGCACGGGTTTGGTGAAGAAGATGACAAAATTCGAGTTGCGCCCGCAGACGGTCAAAGGACCAGCTTGTCCTCGCGGCGGCCAGCCACCATGCCGCCTTTAGGACGTTGCAGGCAACTTGAGCCGGGCGGATTGATGTTGGGCTTTTTTCGTCTTTTCCTTGATCGAAACATATGCCGCCGGGTGGCTTGCGCCGATGATGTCAAACAGGGGCTTGGAAGATTGTAGAAAACCCCCTTACACCGTCTCTCTTCAGGCGGGTTCTGGGCGGCTCACCCACTCGCCATTCGAGTACAACTTCTCAATTCATGGCAGGCTGGTTCCGGCTCGGCCCTAAAAAGCTTTACTAGTACTACATACATACATACACGAGTTCAAGCTAGCTGGGATGAAGGCGGTGGGCAACTGGACAGCCAACCTTGGGGCGGCGCCGATGGGCTTTGTTAATATTGCATCGTTGCTATGACTTGCACACAACGGGCAACCCCTTCTGCGACCGATACGGCTGCTGCTTATAGCTCGGACAAGTCTGGTAGTTACCTCTCACATCTGACAGTGGTCGGAACCAGATCGCCTACTTGATCGCCCTCTTGCAGGCGGACAAATATGGGGACTACTACTTAAAACCTTTGTAAGTAGCCGTGGCGTATTGCTAGTGACTTCCACAGAGGCTCACGTATTCCATGCCACGGGGTAAGTATTTTGGACCTCGTTCCCATCGTCGGGCAGTACCGCTGCGACGGTGGCCGAGCACACCACTGTCTGATACTTGGACAGGGGTGAACCACATATGTTTCTTCCGGGATGCCAGTTCGAGAAAGAACCTTGACTATCCCCTGTTACTCGGGCCTCAAATGTGACCTAACTACAACACGACTGGTCCATGTGGTCGGCGACGTGCTTAGACAGCCAGTAGGAAATGAAGGCATTGTACGGAGTACTCCATACGTACGGAGCTCGGAGTAGCAACAGGTAGTTATTTGGTTCTTTTACTTCTTTACTTCATTGCCCGGCAGGAGATGCCGACGCATTACAGTTTTGTTGCCCATGGCTCAGCTGAAGATTGGATCCCATTTTTGCCGGCCGGGGAAAGCAGAAGAGCCTCGCACTTTAGCTGACGAGTCATTATGCTTTCCCGTGTGTATACTCCGCACCCCTACTAGTTGCCCAGGACCCTGCGCTCTTTCGTAATTCCACAAACAAGCTTCGTTTCTAACGCAGATACTGTACATAAGTTCTAGACTGACAAGCCATCCTTGGCCCTCTACATGGATCCAAACGGGCCGCAAGAGGATGTGTGTGTCGTCTCCACCGTCAACCATGTAAATCCACTTCTATCCGTGCCCCCAATGAGCTGGCTCACTACCACTTCTTTCCAGCATTCGAAGCATACATATTATAAGTTACTACGTACATGCATCCGTACGTTCTGATCTCCAGCGCGGTACGCCATTTCATTGGTGTTGTGCCTTCCGCCTTTGCCTCGAGATACCAGTACCTACAGCCTACACGTGGCGGGATGGAGGGCCGCGGCCATTGTACCTTGCAGTCGAACACCATGATAATCCAGAAAGTCATCATGCAGTTTGGTATTCCGCGCTCCGCACGCTCTTCAGATTCCCGACATCTCTGTGCCATCGATCCGCTGTGGGGGGGTCCGAGTGTCTGTACCTTGCCGACGTGCACGTTTGTCTCTTAATAGCAGTGCCCGACGTGCCTGTCTGTGCCTAGTAGTACATGTAGTTGTCCAGTCCGTAGTTACAGGCCCGGTTGCTGTTTCACCTGAGACGGCGCCATCCTCAGCTTCAACTTGTCTCGAATCCCAGCAATGCTGCTGGTGCTGGTCGTGTTGGAATAGCTGCCTGCCGAAGCGACTCTCGGGTGCTGTTCTTGAACCTGCGTCTCCAACACTGACGGTTGACTGTAAACACTGGCACTTTCGTCCTGCAACTCCACGTGATCCCGACTGCTCCCGGGGTCTCGGGGCGCCTTCTCGTTGGTACTAGATGCATTTGCGACGGGGGCTTGGAATTCTGCAGCGCTGCTGCCCGATGATCCGCTTCGAATGTGCCGAGAGAATAGACTGCCAAGCCTGGAAGGTTTAGGAACACAGGATTGCTTTTGCGCGTCGCATGATTGGTTTGGTGGGGGAGTGATGGAGAGGATAGAGTCGCGTTTGTTTGCCACCGACGCGAGTCGTGACGTTGTATCGAATATTTGTAAAGCCAATGCCGTAGATTTATCTGATATACCGCACGTTCTGGCGGGTTTCCTGAACGGGTAATTTAGAGGTAGTGTGTTAACATCTGGCGGCCGGCTGGAAGGAATGTGTTGATTGCTGGCCGGTGATGGCTGGGGAAGTAACGTGAACGCCTCGTGGCTCTTGACTTTGTTTAAAGCGAAGCTGGAGCTGTACCAGTGCACCCCGCGATGTCTAGAACCCAATGTCTTGGTTGCAGATTGATTGGCGCTGGTAGGGGGGGCGGTTCCGTCATTGGAATGTTTCGTACGGTTCCTCCTGCTCCGCATATATGTCTTGAGGAGATCAAAAGACTGCTGCTCGTGGATTTCATCTCTACTAGTATCAGCAAATAGATCCGACTCTTCATGCTCGTGACCCAATGTAGGGGAATCCGGAATGGGGGTGGGTAAAGTCAGTTTCTCCTGAGATGTTGACGAAGAATGGTGACGCCCTTGTGTGAAGGGGTCATTTTCAAGATATCGTGCATATAGGACCGGCGACATGAGACTATCCCTTGCGTACCGGGTACTTGAACCTGAACTAACAGTTCGCGAGTGAGTGGGCGTGTTGGTTCTGGCATCAAATGAGTGGCGCTGAGGACTTGAATATCGCTTCCAGTCCAGGGAACTAGTCCTTAGACCTCTTCGATCAACAAGCCCCTGAGGGGATCGTCTTGGGCCGAACAAGATTCCGGGACTGGGCGCCTCATTTGGCCTCAGTGAGATGTCTTCCATAGTAGCTTCGCTGATGATTGAGGCACACATGGATTGGATTCCTCCCGGTCTCAGGCCGTCCTCCACTCGCGGACGCTGTGCTCCGCTCGTCGATACCAGCCGTGATATTGGCGATAAATTAGCATCTGAACACGGAATCTTGACACACAAAGGGAAGCGAGGTTGAGGCGTGTCGGGGGGTTGACTTGGGGAGATTGCCTTGTTTTGGAATTTAGGAGCCGGTGGTTGGTAAGTTCTTGGCAACAAAATTGGAAGAGAGCCTAGCGTGAGTTCGGTACTCTCGTTTAGGGGTGAGTTTGCATCTTGCGAAAGCGATACATGCGCATTGTGGAAGGCCGTTCGTTCAGTGTCCGCAGAGAGTGATGATGGCTTATGATCTGTTTGAGATGTAGAAGGTATTGTACCTTTCAGCACTCCTTTGTGTTTTGACAATGCCAGCTTCTTCGCGGTATGCTTGACTGGCTTTCCCAGATCTTGCGTATCATCCCCGCTGTTGTCGTCGCTATCAGAATTGTACTAGAAATTTCGACTTGAACGCTTCTTGACGAGGATGACGCCTGGTCGCTTCATTTCGTCTGACGCCGATTTTTGATCTTGGAAAAGTGGATGGATATGAAATTCTGAGCAATCGAGATCATCTGGAGTGGGGGAGTAAAGTGAAAAGGCGGCAACATCCTTCTTCGCGGCTGACAGCTCATGGCCGGGCATGTCTTCGAGGAGTGGATTGGTATTCTGAGATGCAATGGGGCCCGTGAGCGTTGGTGACGAAGTAGGTCTCGAATTGGAAGATGTTCTTGCGACAGGGCTGGTCTTAACGGCGATGGTATTCCAAGAACAGTAAGCTGTTTGGACTATTCCATGGATCTCTGAGCCGTTCGATAAAGGTACTTTTAACCACGTAGGTGGACTGTCATCACGAGCCTCTTCGATCTGGCGGAAAATTATGAAGCATAGTTCCTCAAACTTCTGGAATTCTTCAGCATACCTGACCATTCTGTTTCGACAAATCTCGTAGCTGGGAATGCTGCACGGTGAAGTAAAGTTGACCTTGAATGATTGTTCATTGTCCTGTAGCATCTTGTTCGGTCTCATCAGGTGCTCATAAATACAAAGTCGTATTTCACCTCGTAAGTTTACTATATCAGATGAAGGTTCGACTTCATCTTCATCTTTTTCACACGCTTTAAAATTTGGAGGGAACAGCGCATTCAATCGGGCCATGATCTTTGCTGCTTGGTCCCTATCTATGTTGTTTTGCGGCAGAGAGTCTACCATACACTAAAATGACGCATTTGTCAGTAACAGCGGTTTGTTACAACAAGCAAGATGGGGCGGGATGCTAACATGTGCGCGAAAATAAAGTTGAAGAGACGAATATGTTTCGCTTGCTGCGCCATGTTTCTTGGTCAACAGGGAAATATGGTCCTTCAGCAACCCACCGTCTATTACTTGTTTTGCGGAAGCTGCAAGCCGTTTGCGATGGATTTCAATCTGCTCAAGCATAGCCAATACTTCGAATGTCTGAATATGATCTAGTCGTCCATCTTTTGTTCGTTCGAATACGCCCTTGATAGTGCCGAGTTTTTTACGGGAGTCAGGTATAGCGGGCGGTGGGACCGGACTCGATTCATCTTTGTAAAGTTGACGGTGAAGATCGTCGTTATCGAATGCCTTGAGTTTCTTCTGGATGGCTTCAACGAAACCGACTTGTCCGGGACCAAGACCGAGGCTATCGACATTGACGAGATCGGTTAGGTGCTTGAATCCGGAGGAGAGCCACCACTCCTCCAAATGCCCTATTGATTCAATCATTGCAACTTTCCATAAAAGCGAATGGGTGGCTGCGTTTTGGCTTGGACTGGAAGTTTGAGCGTCGGCGCGTCGATATATACGGATGTCAAGGTTTCACACATACATTCCCATTCTCCATACACAAGTCCATAAAAGCAAACTTAACAAAGCAAAGAGAAGGCACGGTAGATGATGGGGGATTGCATCACGTGTCAAGCCATACTGTGTTCTACGAGAACTGTCCTCACTTCTTACTCACATCGAGTTCAGTTTGCATCGTGAATCCTTTGCACCAGGCGAGACAAAAAATCACTGCTTCTGACTGCCCTGGACGTTGCGCGACTACCGGCCGCAGTGGAGCGGAATGATTCACTGAAGGCATTTTGAAAGAAGATTGCAGATTAACGGGTGATGAAAAAGACAATCGTTTTTGTCTGCTGGTTTTGTACTGCGTTTCGGCGTAAAGCCCAGTGCTTCTGTATGGAGTCATAATCAGAATGGAAACACAAAGTCTAAAACAAAGGAAGGAGAGTGGGCAAACCCAATCGTGGTTGTCACTTGTCAAGCACAGCCGTCGACACTCAGTCCAGGCATCTGCTCCGTACCTCTCTCTTGATATTTCGGCAAAGAGGGTTTCATGTTTGCGACACTGGTGCATCAACCACGTCTTTATGTCGCCTTTGATATCAATGATATTTTAGGTCTGGCGACGTCATTCGACGACGACTCTTGAAGCCTTCAATGAAAAGTGCCGCCACTCAGAACATTGCATTGAGCCTCCTGCGCAGCTGAAACTCCCACCCGACGCTGTGGACTCTGGCTGCTCAGAGCCTGGTCGGGCCCACAATAATGACAAGAATAAGGCACCAGATGCCAGCATCCCTTGCCATGTCTCCACCGTTGCGAGGCCACCGACAGGAACCGACCGTCGCCAACGTCGGGCAGCTGGGACTAGTAAACTTTGTGTTGTGGAATAGGGTCCTGAGTCGCTTTGGAGTTTTGGCCTGATCGCAAGAGCCACGAGGAGGCCACCTCCCAAACACGCCATGGTCCCGGGATTGCTTGATCTTGACCACCTCAGACATCCCATGATTTGGACAGCAACCGCCTGGGCTCCAGGAAGCAATTGAAACCATTTGCTGCTGACCAGGCGCCGACTTGTCGCTCATTGGCGCGTCACAATGCAGGCAATGCGGCCTGGCCTCCGCGCAACATGGTCATTCTCCGGGTCGAATGTTGCTAGGCACACTCGAATTGGACACGCCGCCTCATGCTCACGGCTTTTTTCGACGTATGGCCCCAGAAACAGTGGTAGGAATAATTGCAACTCATGCTCAACCACGAGCAGCTGTCATATTCACACCCTTACATGAAGCGCAAGGACTAATCAATACTTCATAGCTCAAGATGCCTCCCCAAACGAAAATAATAGCAGAGGAAATGCCAAGTCGGACGAGTCGTCCATCTTCTCCAAGATGGGGGAATCCGCAGCCACCACATTCGCCTCAATATTCGTCTTGGGAGTAGGATTCGCAGGAGCGGGGTATCTTTACCATAAATCCTATAAAATGCTCGTTCTCAGGAAAATGACTCGAGCCTTTGAACCTGGGGATCCTGTATTGGAGTTGGCCGCGGTGGGCAAAGACGTTCCTCATAGCCACCCTCCCGGCGAGGAACATTGGGTGCGCCGCCCGGAACAAGAACATATCGATCGTATTATCACTGGTCAGGAGGTTGGCCATTACTACTTCATATTGGGCGAAAAGGGTTCCGGGAAAAGTAGCATGCTCATCGAAGCAATGCGCAAGATAGATGGCGATGGTGTCGCCATGTTTGAGGCCCATGCGGACCCGGAGATTGTGAGGATACGGCTGGGGAAAGCGCTCGACTATGAATTTCATGAGGACTACATCGGCGGGTACTTTAGCGAGAAAGGGCCGCGTGACATGGGAGCTCTTTTGGATATTGAGCGCGCGATGAATAAGCTGGAAAAAGTGGCCATGAAGCTTTTCCGTATAAGAAAGAAGCCTCTGGTTGTCATTGTCAATCAGATGCACCTTTTACGAAATGACGATGTTGGTCGAAATCTTATCGAGCTTTTACAACAACGCGCCGAACAGTGGGCCGCCGCTGGGTTGGTGACTATGGTGTTCAACTCGGATGATTACTGGGTCTACGAACGGCTAAAGCTACTATCCACTAGAATGGAAGTGTTACCTGTGACGGATTTGCCGAAGAAGCAAGCCATTCAGGCTCTGCAAAGATATCGCATGCGCTATTTTGGAGAAAAGATGACCCAGGAACAGCTTGACGATGTATATGACCGTGTTGGAGGACGATTAAGTTTCCTGAACCGTGTGGCAAAGAGCCATGATATGTTGGCCACGTGCGAAAGGATCAAGGACATTGAGAAGAAATGGTTCCTCAATCAATGCTGGATCATGGGAACCGAGATGGATGACGATGTTATGGACCAACAAAAGTGGGCGGTAAGTTTCTCGACGTTTCTCCCCTTTCAAAATGCCCAGAGAAGGCAGTAGTACTGACAGAAACTGTAGGCTGCCGCTATGGTTTTAGCACATGCCCTTGTTGAGAAGGAAGAGAGCATGACAAGCACATATGATCCTGTTGTAGGCCACATCCTACCTACGTATCCTTTCCATATCGCGCAAGAGATCATGACACGATGCGACTTTATCAGAGATCTAGACAGCTTGAATCTATTCACGATTACGAATCAAGCAGACGTACGAGCTAGCAGCGTGCCGATGCACCGGGCTTTCCGGGAGATTTGTAGCCAACCGGGTTTCAAGGAGCATTTGGATAATACCATTGAAAGGATTGCCGCTATTGAGAGCTTAGGCCGGACCAGGGAACTGGTGGCCAAAGACTTGGTTCTTGGTGGGCAATATGACATTCAGCAGGAGCGCAACAAAGTCACGGTGAGGTTGAAGATGCCCGAGGAGGAGGAGAAGGACAATTAATTGCATTCAAACCGCTAGCGGTAGACGGTGTATACGTGGACGCAGCACTTGCGGAATGTTTTTCTCATGTCGTGGTGTATTTATATGTATGAACAAAAGAATGACTGATGCCGATACTGGATATTGTGACAAAGTGTGTTCCCAATACAATCATTGTGCAATTCGTTCTAGGCATGTTGGTTTCAGGGCGAGCGCAACTAGATGGGTGCCTGACATCTCAGGCAA